TGAATCAAAATGAAGGCTTTGGAGGCTTTCTATTTCCCATAATCAACTTTCCATAGAAGCATCAATACGGCTGTGTATTTCAGAGAATGATCTTCTACCATATAAAATAACTTTTCCAACATTATTTCTGAGAAACCAAGATGCTCCACTTTCAGATTTGGACTTGTTTCAAGCGTATCCAATGTCGCATTTTAGCCAGCCAAGAGGAGGAGGTTTCCAACCAAAGATGATTTTCTTTCTCCTTTCAAGGTCGATAGCTTTTTCACTATTTTTCAATTGCCTTGATAAAAAGCTAATGGTTTACTTCTTCAAACACTTTATATAGAAGATCTGGAGCTTTTTATATGTTTCCTTAAAAAAGATGCAAATTTATGTTTTTCCATCTGCTTCAAAGGATCTAGGGTCTAACTTTACCAATTTTCCATGGAATAGAGATAATGTATTTAGTCTTCGAAACATAGAAAATGTTGGAGTAGACAGAGGAATCTGAGAACCTTGTATGAGGCCGAGGGAAATAACTAATACCCAAGAAAAAATCGTCACAAGGTAAAAATGCAGTATGTAATCAAATTGTAAAGATGATTGCTGTAATTTTACTATAAATATGACACTAAAATTGTCTTTTACTGTGAAGCTAGATTTAACTATTTAAAAAAATGACTACATTTTAAGTAATTCACTGAAATATAAATAACGGGTTAAGTTAAAAAAAAATATATATATATAATAATGGGTATCAGTAAAATTTTAAAAAAATTTGCTCAATTGTTTCTTTAAATGTTATTTCTCAGAACTTTAGTAGTCATTCCACTTACATAATTGATATGTATTTCAAACTAAAACGATAAACTCAAAATAAAAAAAAATATTTTTAGATTCTGTATTTTGGCATATATATGTGACAGTCTCATCAAATATATACAAAACAAGTATTAATATCTGAGCAAGTATAATAATTAACATCACAGTCAAAATGTTAAACTAAATAGCATAGTTGAAATAGAATATATGGTCATTCATCCTTTCTGCCAACTCACCATTCCAATTATAAGCCACGTAGATTAAGGATTAGATGGTTAATTTTATTTTTTTACCTTAAGGGTATGTTTATTAGATATTCTTAAGATAGAGTGTTTAACTTATGATTTGACATATTTTTTATTTTATTTTTTTTGGTTAAGAACTGACTCTTAAATAAGAATTTAAAGAAATAGTTCTTAATTTTACTTAGTTAAAGTTAAAAAATGGTTTTTATATTACGCTAAAAATCTCATTCTAGAAACCATGTATTAAGATGGTTTATTTAAGTTCGTAACGTTTATATATGCTAGTTTGTATTTCAACTGAACTCCCTTTTATTTACAGAAATTATGTAAATAGTTCCAAAACAGCCATGCACTAATAAATACCTTTTTTTGCTTTGGCTTACAAGTGTCAAAAATATATGCAGATTTCATATTTCATCGTTTTTGTTCATACAGATCATGTCCTATATAACAATACGATGAACATCCTCCAGTAACACACACGAGAAAAAAACCTATCATAGCTAAAACACGAGATAGATATGGAGACTGTAGTGGTGATTGTGGGAGCTGGACCAGCGGGTTTAGCAACATCGGTTTGTCTAAACCAACATTCAATCCCAAACGTGATTCTAGAGAAAGAAGACATCTATGCTTCACTATGGAAGAAACGAGCCTACGACCGTCTCAAACTTCACTTAGCCAAAAACTTTTGTCAGCTACCTTTCATGCCGCATGGTCCCGAAGTTCCAACCTTCATGCCCAAAGAACTTTTCATCGACTACCTTGACGCTTACGTCACTCGTTTCAACATAAACCCTAGATACAAGCGAACTGTGAAGTTCTCAACGTTCGATGTGTCTAACAACAAGTGGAGGGTAGAAGCCAAAAACACTGTGACCGGAGAAACCGAGGTGTACTGGTCAGAGTTTGTCGTGATTGCCACTGGAGAGAACGGAGATTTGTATATTCCGGGAGTGGAAGGGATTGAAAATTTCCCTGGTGAGCTTGTGCACTCAAGCCTGTACAAGTCGGGGAGTGACTTTACAGGAAAAAACGTTCTGGTGGTCGGAGGCGGTAACTCGGGTATGGAGATCAGTTATGATCTTGATATCTATGATGCTAATACCGCCATTCTCATTAGAACTCCGGTAAGTAGTAATTCATTAATGTTGTTTTTTTCATTAAATTATTATTTTCTGAATGCATGAACATTAAAGATGCACACTTCTCTTGCATGGCATAATTACTTATATGCTTCTTAATGATAACTGACGCTTTGTTCATTCCTGGTTTAAAATTCATTTGGATTACTACTGATAGTGCTCATGGCAATGCCATTGGCTAGGTTAGTACAATTTATATCAATACTAGTATTATGGCCCCTGCTATGCAGTAGCACATTATTTTTACCAATATAACATGTTAACATGAATGGTGTCTAATATACATGTTTTTGCTAAAACATAATAAGTGTTAATTATTATGATTGCTAAAGTATACACTATTTATGTATTTTTTAAAAGTTAAATTTTTTTTATTAAGTATGATAAATAGTTAAGATATACTTTGGAAAATAAAGGGATACACATTTTTAAGAAACAAATATTTTATGAATTTATAACAGAATCATTATTATTATTTTTGTTATTAAAAACACCAAACAAACAAAATGAAAGAGAACAATTCTTCTTGCTTTTGGCTTTCATTTTTTTTTGTTCGATCTTGTTTATCTATGGAAATTTTAACAAATGTCAATGTTGAAATGAAATTTAATCAACATATTTCATAAATAACATTTAATTGTATAAGCAACTGTTTGTTGTAGGGATCTGATCCAAGAAATAAACGGAAATGTAATATACGATTAGAAAAGCGACAACTCACCAGTTGTTAAAAACGCCATTAGCGTTAATGAACTCAGGTGTCTAGATACTATTTCTTCTTATTTTCGAGTCAGCCTTTATTGGTGCTTTATTCCAATCTTTTCTTATGCTGTTTTTATATTCAATGAAAATTTTGTCTACATATAAATATGATAACAACTTGTATCACACAGAATGCAGTTAAAAAAACTTGTAAACATTAACGTTAAAAAAAGATCTTTGCACAATTAGTTGGAATAAAAATGATAAGGATCACCCATCCCCAACTTCGTCTCCTCGCTCTACATGTCAATGATGTGGTGCCAATCATACATAAAATCTTAACAAAACTCTAAAAATAAGTTATGCAAAATAGCTCACTCTTCATTTACAAAAAGAAAAAAATAATAATCTAAACTCACTGTTGTTTTTCAAGCGAGAGTGTACGTTGTTTTCAATTTATATCTGGTTTCTTTGACTTCGTGTTATACTTTCTCCAATTTCACGTTTTCCTTTACTATGAATAGAGTGTTTTTAATGGTTATTGCTCGAATATTGTGGAGGAAATAAGATTATAAGAACCAGGAAATTAAGAGTCCGATTGGTGTCTAGGTTTTGAGGGCTTTGTGGTTATGTAAAGCCAGTAAAACCAAATATTTGCCGACCACTTATTTTAAACTTTAGAAATTTGTAAAACCTTAAAAACTCACTTAAAAGAAACTGTTTTTTGTTCACTTTTTTTGTACAGTCACTTTTTAGGATTTTACAACATTCTCTCTTTTTTTCTTTTTTAACAAAAACGTGAAATGCTTTTTTTTTTTGTTTTTTGTTCATTTTCTATTAAAATAAAGGAACAATAAGTATAATAATTAATAAATTCATCTTCATTAGTTAGTTTAGGTTTTACCATCAAGAAAAAGTTACACCTTACTATTAATAGAGTATTAATTAGTTAAAGACTAAAAAATATTATATAAATAATTGAAAATATTTACGAATGATTCAAAAAGTATAATAATTGAAAGAAACAATAAATATAATGATTAATAAATTCATTTGCATTAGTTAGTTTAGGTTTTACCATCAAGAAAAAGTCATACTTTACTATTAATAGACTATTAATTTGTTAAAGACTATGTTTTGTTTTATTTAATAAACTGTAATCTTATTTTAAATTTAATTTTTAATTTTTATTTATTTAGTAAATTGTTATCTTATCGTAAATTTAATAAAGATTAATTTTGTTGGTTACAATTTCAAATTTTTACAATAAGGAAATAAAATATGTTATTGATAAATTTGATTGACTTTGTGTTTTAAACTACCCAATATATTTTATGGACTTGTACAAATAGAAATAGATATATAAAAAAATAGGTAATACATTTTGGAAAATGAACTATGAACTTATATTTATAACAGTTACAGCTTCTAAAACTTTGAATACCAATCAAGCTTTTAACTTTTTCTAAAGTAACAGTTATAGTCTTTAAAGCCAAAATCTCTAGAGTCATAATTCTAAAATCAAAGTCTAAAACAAAAGCCATTGCCAGGGAAATGGCGTGATTTGTGGGTGTAACTACTGAACGGTTTATTCACTATTAATGAAAAAAAAATCTTTAGCAACAAAACCATTTTCTAAAAATTAATAAATTTCTTATTATGAAAAAACTGAAAAAGACACTTGTCATTCACAAGATTGTCAATTAACTTGTGTGTTTATAGTATAATAAAGGATATTTGGTTTCTTCAACTTTAACACAGAAAATAAATCTTAATTTTATCAAAATATAATAAACGCTTAGCATATACCTATTATTAAAAATTTTTTTGTTAAAATTTATCATTTTATCAACTTCATTCTCTAAACTTACGCAGAGACATGTATTGACCAAAGAAGAGGTTTATTGGGGAATGACACTGTTGAAGTATTTACCGGTAACAGTGGTTGACATATTGGTGATGATGATGGTTAAGACAAGATTTTTTTTGTATGGAGATCCCTCCAAGTATGGACTCCTCCGACCTAAACAAGGTCCTTTTGCCACAAAATTCTTCACAGGCAAAACTCCAGTTATCGATGTGGGAACTGTCCACAAGATTCGTGAAGGAAAGATTCAGGTACCTTCTAATGTCCATCAAATTTATTTTCATCTTTGTTAATTGGTTGCATATGAAATGATTCAATAACTAGAAACTATATATATATATGCATATGTACAGGAAGTATTTATTTTAAGTGAAAATGAAGAAACACTATATAATAAAGGAAAATGGAAAAAGAAAGTAAGGAAAACGGTATAAAAAGTAATGTAAAATTTGTATAAATAAATCAGAAAAAGAAACTGACTTCCAGCATGAATTTTTTTTCTGTTGCTAAAAACAGCATAAAATTTATATCTTCTATCTTTTTCATGTCATAAAAATGAAAGCCTTCTTTATCTACGAAAAATAAGTGAAATCTACTTTTCCGTATCATCAAAATCAAAAGATTTATATTTTTTTACTGTAAACTGTTTTCACTACTTTATGTATATTTTTCGATGTTACAAAAAAAAATGTATATTTTTCTATTAAACATTATTACTTTATTATATATATTTTCCAATAAAACATGGTCACTAACTATTGTTGCACTAAAGGTTATCAATGGTGGCATAGAAAGCATCGAAGGCAAGACATTGACGTTTGAAAATGGACTGAAACAAGATTTTGATGCCATTGTGTTTGCTACTGGTTACACAAGCTCCGTATGCAATTGGTTAAAGGTATTCCCAAAAACCATATACACAAAACAAATTAAAAATTTATTAACGTAACCAATTGAATAAATATGACAATGGTTATGTGTTTTGTTAAACCATAAACACTAGAACTATGAGTACGTGATGAAGGACGATGGTTTCCCTAAAAACCCAATGCCGAAGCATTGGAAAGGCGAGAAGAATCTTTATTGTGCTGGATTTTCAAGAAAAGGGATCGCTGGAGCCGCCCAAGATGCTATGTCCGTCGCCGAGGACATCAATTCTATCTTGGCAGCTACTAGATGTTAGATTTTGGTTGAGTCTAGTGTTCAACTTAGTGCTCTTGTCTGTAAGTATGTTTTGTCTGTGGATGAATCAGTATAATGGTGCATATATTAATGTATAGTAAGATGTAAAATATATGTTGTTCATCAGAATAGAACTTTGTTTGATTCAGATATATAATTAGTATTTTGTATCAAGGATAAATCAACTAACTAGAGCGGCTAGGGCTTCCAACGGAGATCTCTTGGCGATCATGGTGGAAGTGCTTCAGATTGATAGTTTTCTTTGAAACTTTGATCTCCTCCTCACCACAACGTCCATTGACAGTGGTATCCCGTTACGCTTCTCCTCTCATCGACGGAAGTGCAGATTTGATCGCTTTCTTCTCCTACACTCCACGGCGGCTGGTGACTGATACGATCAACACATCGCTGATGTTGTGATTCGAACCCAATAATAACTTATAAAGTTTGAATCTTTATCACTCTCTCTCTCTCTCTCGTGTTTAACTCTCGTTTGTAGTGTTGTTTGTTTGTGATTAATAAAGAACAGAACACAACAAATGTTAACGAGTTCAGGCACGTCAACTTTGCCCTACGTCTCGCCGGGATCTGATGCCCGGAATCCACTAGAATCACTTAGGTTATATACACTTACAACCACTTAACTCAACCACACTTGGTTTCGTACGGTATTAACCATAGTTACAGAGGAGTGTTGTCTTCAAGCCTGCACACAGGCCGCCTACTTCTTTCGGACTAAACAGAGTATCGATGTACTCTTTGTTCTTCTTGTCGAAAGAGGAAACACAGAGCCACGCACGCGCCACGCGGTCCAAACCACGCTCTTCTCAACTAACGGTCATAAAGCTCTTATGGGCCTCAGAACCGTACTCGGCCCATTACCCAAAACTTAGCCGTTGAAGAACAAACTTCTTCTTATTCTTCAAAGACTCTAAGACAATACCACAAAACTCCACCTTGGATTTGAGTTCTTTGATTCTAGTTCTTGGACTCCACCCGGATTCTTCTGACTAAAGTCAGTTCTTTGTAACTTGGAGTAGCTCCAGAGCATCTTGGAGCTTCCCCACCGGCAAGACCTTGGTGAGAATGTCTGCCAGATTATACAAGGTTGGGATCTTAGTAACATTCACCTTTCCACCTGCAATTAGGTCTCTGATGAAATGGTACTTCCTTGCAACATGCTTTGTTCTTTCATGGAACACCGCATTCTTGGATAATGCTATTGCGCTTTGAGAATCACAAAACACTTCCACGGCACCTTGATGAAAACCCATCTCATTCATCAATCTTCTTATCCAAACTGCTTCCTTCCCAGCCTCAGAAAGTGATATATACTCTGCTTTGGTCGTGGTTAGAGCCACCACTTTCTGTAGACTGGACCTCCAACTGATAGTTCCTCCTCCAAGAGTGAAAACATAACCACCAGTTGATCTCATGTGATCTAACTCGCCACTGAAATCAGAATCACAGTAGCCCTTTAAGACAAACTTCTCTTGCTTCTTGAACATAAGCTTCATCTCTGTGGAGCCTTTGATATATCTTAAGACCCACTTTACTGCCTGCCAATGCTCCTTCAAGGGCTTACTCATAAAACGGCTAATGACTCCAACAGGATAAGCCAAGTCCACTCTAGTACCTATCATGGCGTACATAATGCTACCAACAGCACTAGAGTAAGGAACTGATTTCATCTCTTCTTCTTGTTCCTTCAGATCTTTTTCTGTGGCTGCCCTGAGCTTGAAATGAGCTCCCAGTGGTGTCTGAACAGAGCTGCATTGATCGAGCTTAAAGGTGTCTAGCACTTTCAACAAATAATGCCCTTGAGTAAGCGTTAGAACACCTTTTGATCTATCTCTGAGAATTTCCATTCCTAGGATTCGTTTAGCTTCTCCCAGGTCCTTCATTTCAAATTCTGTGTTGAGAAGATCTTTAAGTTCCTTGATCTGCTTCATATCTTTGGATGCAATGAGCATGTCGTCAACATACAGTAGTAAGTAGACGTACTGATTCTTGTTCACTTCCTTGATGTAAACACAAGTATCTTGCTCACTTCTTCTGAACCCTGACTTGGTCATGAACAGATCAAACCTCTGATTCCACAGTCTTGGAGACTGTTTCAAGCCGTATAAAGAACGCTTGAGCAGACAAACCTTCTCCGTCTTTGACTTAACAGCATACCCTTCTGGTTGACTCATCAATATATATTCATCAAGATTTCCATATAAGAACGCAGTCTTGACGTCAAGCTGTTCCAATTCCATATCAAACTGAGCAACTGCAGCTAACAGGAGCCTTATAGAGACATGCTTGACGACAGGACTGAAGATTTCTTGATAGTCAATACCATACTTCTGAGAGTAGCCCTTTGCTACGAGTCTTGCTTTGAAGATAGGCCTCTTCCCTGTTATACCATACTTTCTCCTGTAAACCCATCTACAGCCAATAACCTTTTTATTTTGAGGTTTTTCTACCAGCTCAAACGTCTTGTTCTTCCTCTGAGACACCATTTCATCATCCATAGCTTCTTTCCAACTTTCCCAGTCTGGATCAGCCATGGCTTCTTCATAACTCTTAGGTTCAGGTCTCCCACCATCTTCTGTCATGGCGAGAGCCAAACCCACTGCATTTGATTCATCAAACCTCCTTGGTGGTCTAATCTCTCTCTTAGCTCGATCTCTTACAAGTTGATACTGTCTGATATCATCTCCATCATCCTCAGAATAATATTCTTCATCAGTGTCAGAGTCATCACCTTGTCTTGAGCTATCTGATTCAGATTCCTTTTCAGATTGAGACATAGACCTTCTTGACGCATCTCCACCTTGATCTGAACTTCCTACAACTTCAGGTTCTGCAAACTCCAAGTTCACGTTTCTTGTTGTATTTTGCTCTTCTCCTGAAGTGGTTGAAACTTCTTTTATATCCTTGTAGACTTTATCCTCCTGGAATACAACGTTCCGACTGATAACACACTTCTCTTCCTCCAGTAGCAAAACCCTGAAGCCTTTTACTCCTGTTGGATAGCCTAAGAAAACTCCTTTCTTAGCCCTCGGATTCAGCTTTCCCTGGTCTGAGTGTACATAAGAAACACAGCCAAAACGCTTGAGGCCACTGTAATCAGGTACTGTATTTGACCATTTTTCTTCAGGAATGCCAAACTCTAGAGCTGTAGAGGGTGATCTGTTTATTAGGAACACTGCAGTAGAGGCTGCTTCACCCCAAAACTCTTGCCACAGACCTGATTCACTCAGCATACTCCTGACCTTGTTCATGATGGTTCTGTTTAACCTTTCTGCAATCCCGTTTTGTTGGGGAGTGTAGGTACAAGTACGGTGCCTCACAATCCCTTCCTTCCTGCAGAAGCCATCAAACTCGTGGTTACAAAACTCTAACCCGTTATCAGTCCTCAACCTCTTCACTTTCTTTCCTGTTTGTAACTCTACCATCTTCTTCCACTCTACAAAACTTGTAAAAGCTTCATCTTTTTTCTTCATGAGATAAATCCAAACCTTCCTTGTAAAATCGTCAGTGAAAGTGATAAAATACTGACAATTTCCCAAGGTGTTTGTTACTGATGGTGAACCCCAGAGATCTGAGTGTATGTACTCTAACTTCTCTCTGGTGGTGTGTTTAGCTGCTCCAAAGCTCACTCGATGTGCCTTGCCATACACACAATCTTCACAAAACTCAAAACCATCGACTTTACATTGTTGCAGGCACCCTTTCTTGGCCAACACTTCAAGACCTTTCTGACCAATATGGCCAAGCCTGCTGTGCCATAACTTAGTTTCATTTGAGCTTCTATCTGTGGCATTCGCTTCTCCAGTAATGACCTTTCCTTTGAGTAGGTAAAGTCTGTTGATCTTCTCAGCCTTCATCATCGTTCTGCAACCCTTGATGACCTTGAGTACTCCTTCTTTTGATTGAACCAACAACCATTCTCTTCCAATGTCCCTAGTGAGATGAGATTCTTGGACATTGTTGGAACATATCTTACGTTTGTAAGCAAGACTATGGTTCCATCATCATTCTGGATCCTTATACTTCTGATTCCCTTTACTACGGAGATAGTGTCATTTGCCATCTTTACACTGCCTCTGTCTGAGCTTGAAGAGATTCAAACCAATCTTTTCTTGGGGTCATGTGGAACGTACACCCGGTGTCAAGAATCCATTTTTCACTGCTCTCATCGCTTGTCAGAAAGTTTGCTTCAGAGACCATGAGAGACGCTACTTGATACTCATCTCCTTTTACTGCGGATGCTTCACCTTTCTCTGTTGAAGTAAAACCTTTGTTTCTTTCCCTCCAAACAGAGCACTGTTTCTTAAAGTGACCCTCTTTACCACAGATCCAACAAGCTTTTGCTGTACCTCGAGACTTAGATCTGCTCTTATGCTTGCCCTTCTCAGATGTTTTCGTTCTTCCTTCAGACCTTCCTCTATCTTGGACATACAGGGCTTCTGAGTTACTCTTAAGAGCTTTACCGGCTACACCAAGCTCAAGAGTCTTAGACCTTATAGCCCCTGTGATTTCTTCAAGAGCTAAAGTAGTCTTACAATACTTCAATGTCTCTTTCAACTGATCAAACTGTTTTGGAAGAGACATGAGTAAGACTATGGCTTGGTCTTCTTCAGGAACCGTGACCTTAACGTTTTCTAGATCTGAGATTAGCTTGAAGAAATCATTGACGTTCTCTTCTATTGACACACTTTCACTCATCTTATAAGAGTAAAGCCTCTGTTTTAAGTATATGCGATTCGGAAGAGATTTCGCCATGAACATGTTGTCAAGCATTCTTAGCATACCTGCAGCAGTCTTCTCCTTGACTATCTTTCTCGGGATGTGATTCTCAACGCTCAAAATGATTGTAGATCTTGCTTTCCCTCTCTTTTCCTTGAGGGTTTTGTCTGTAGTCGAGTCAGAGACCTTTGTAACAGGGGTTACAGTTCCTCCACCACTCGCAGGATCTGTACCTTCTGCTTCCGAAACCGTCTCCTCTTCTTCTTCTAGACCTTCCATAAGACCCAACAAATCCAAGTGCGCCAACAGCTTTTCCTTCCAGAGAACATAGTCACCATCACCATCAAACTTCTCAACTTCGATTTTACTCGAAGTCATCTTCTACACAAGTGCGGAACCAACACGAGATGAAACCTAGTGCTCTGATACCAGTTGTTGTGATTCGAACCCAATAATAACTTATAAAGTTTGAATCTTTATCACTCTCTCTCTCTCGTGTTTAACTCTCGTTTGTAGTGTTGTTTGTTTGTGATTAATAAAGAACAGAACACATCAAATGTTAACGAGTTCAGGCACTTCAACTTTGCCCTACGTCTCGCCGGGATCTGATGCCCGGAATCCACTAGAATCACTTAGGTTATATACACTTACAACCACTTAACTCAACCACACTTGGTTTCGTACGGTATTAGCCATAGTTACAGAGGAGTGTTGTCTTCAAGCCTGCACACAGGCCGCCTACTTCTTTCGGACTAAACAGAGTATCGATGTACTCTTTGTTCTTCTTGTCGAAAGAGGAAACACAGAGCCACGCACGCGCCACGTGCTCCAAACCACGCTCTTCTCAACTAACGGTCATAAAGCTCTTATGGGCCTCAGAACCGTACTCGGCCCATTACCCAAAACTTAGCCGTTGAAGAACAAACTTCTTCTTATTCTTCAAAGACTCTAAGACAATACCACAGCGGGGGCTCATAGAAACTCAACAACAACTGATTCAAGGCATCACGGGGCTTCGATCAAAACAACTTCTTCGATCTCTGGTGACTGTTTCGATCGCTTCTCCGCTGCATCTAAAGCTCTGTTTTTTTCATAAAAAACAGAGTACTCACAGAGTTCTGATCTGATCTATTCTCTCCTGACGGCATATTACTCTTCCGACGACCGTAGCATCTCTGTTAATACCACAAGGGGGACTCTTCGGTTTCTGTGGTGGTTCAGTCGGAGGTTCTCTGTCGACGAAGCTATTTCTTTGGAGTTTCTCCGCAAGAAACGATCTGAGTTTTGGCTGTTTGTGTTTCTGTTGCATTGGCACAAGTTTCCTTGAAGCTGTATCGCAGTTACTCAGAAACGTTCTTTGACGTTTGTGAATTGCAAGCCTACGTCAAACCTGGTTCTGCTGCAACGATCTCTCAACGTCAACAACCTTGGATCTGCTACAATTACGATCTCACACCAACATCAACAATTATATGGTCTTTGGCGTTTTGATTTCATTACTCTGCAACTTTGGATCAGATACAATCCCGCGGTATGAGGCCTATGGCTCGGGTTAACTCTGCTCATCTGGCGGATATGAAGGGGAAAGGAGTGGTTTATGAGGACGATGATGAACCTATCAAACTGACGGATCATGACGATGCGAATGTAATATTGGAGTTTCGCCTATCATTGATTGGCAAGATCCTCAACCCCAAAAAACAAAAGGTGGATAAGCTTATTCAAACAATGACATCACAATGGGGGTATGGATGATAAAATCATTGCAAATGATCTTGAAAATGGGAAGTTTCTTCTCAACTTCACCTCTGAGGATGACCTAAACTCTGTTCTTCGACAGGGTCCATTTCATTACAATTTTTGTATGTTTGAGCTGGTTCGATGGAAACCGATTGTACACGATGACTATCCCTGGGTACTCCCTTTTTGGGTTCAGTTTGTTGGGTTGCCGTTGCACCTCTGGACAAACAGAAACTTGAGAGATATAGGAGGCAGACTTGGCTACGTTGATACGATTGAGCTATCTACGGGACGCGTGCTCATAGACATCGATTCACGCAAGCCTCTAAAGTTCTCAAGGAGGATTGAATCACCTGAAAAGGGGATGGAGTTACAATTGAAATCAAGTATGACATGTTGTTTAAACATTGCACCATATGTGGAATGTTAACACATGAAAAAGGGTATGTCCCTCGACCAACATATATTCTCGTCTTCAAGAACCGGGAGAGCGTGAGCATGTTTTTTCCCGTATGGAGGCACCTCCGCTGCAAGAAAAATACCAGGTTTCGGCCTCACATGCCACTGCAATAGACCGCGGTTCCCGTCAGGAACACGGTTCTTATGTGGACAAGGCGGCAAGCCGTGATCATTACTCTAGGGCACGATCACCATTTGACGAGCGTAGAAACCGGCTGTGGAATGACAATGGTCGCAAGACAGGTCCTGATATTAGGATCTTTAGGCGCGGAGAGGACAAATCAAGGAGGTTTGGAGGAGCTAGGCATGAAGCGGGTCCTTATAGCCGAGGGAGTGATCAGCGTTGGAGAGCAAAACCTAATTTAAATACTCGTGCGCCTGTTGAAGTACATGAAGGGAATCCATCCGAGGTTCCACTGCAGGGCAAGGAGGTATCATATGCTAGTTTTGAGAAGAATGAGCTACAGCAGCGTGATGGTACTAGATATCAGAGGAGGCTTGCTAGTACAATTGTTACTCCAACTGCTGTGGAGCACACAATGGAGTGTAACATAACAATTCGCACCAAAGGTGTTGCGAATATACTTTCTTTCTCGCCTTTGCAGGAACAAGAAACTGATGACACGGAGCAAATGATTGGAGCACTGAATTACATGGATACAGTGGACCAACAAACGGCTTGATTGATGAAGGTTGAATCCAATGATTCAAATGATGATGATTTACTTGGAGAGGAGCTAAGGGAGGCTGAAGAGAGTACCATCAAAGGAATAACTGATGTGGACAAGAGCAACAAAACTGGAAGCAAGCCTTCACATCAAATGAGAACTGGTGGTAGACACAATGCTTCTTTGGGCATGTCTTACAAGAAGTTTGATAGCATTCGTAGAGGATCTCCTTCAAAATGACCTAAGACATGATCCATTGGAGATGATGCGAGACATGGTAATCTCCGACATGGGACAAAGAAGGCTGGAGATGGTCGGCAAAAGGTTGATGGTTCGATGAGGTCCAAAAACTCATCCCACCATCATCCATGAAGACAATCAGTTGGAACTGTCGAGGGCTAGGAAACAACCTCACAGTTCGACGCCTTACGAAGATGCGTCAGAAGCATCGCCCAGGACTTGTGTTTCTCTCTGAAACGAAGAATAGGAGGCTGTTGTTGCAAGACATTCAGGCCGACCTAGGATTTGATCGTTTGTATACCGTTGAGCCACTTGGTCTCAGCGGAGGTCTAGCTTTATTTTTTATGGATTTTCAAGTTAATGTTTTATTTTCGAATAACAGAATGATTGACATTAAGGCAGTCATTGATGGAATAAAAGTCTATATGACATTTGTTTATGAGGATCCTGTAGTAGAAAGAAGAGATCTAGTTTGGGAACGTCTTACGCGTTTCTCAACAACAAGAAATAGACCTTGGTTTATGATAGGTGATTTTAATGAAATTACTTGTCATGAAAAGAAAGAAGGAGGTAGGCAACGCACAGATAGTTCCTTCTTGCATTTTAAGCAGATGCTCAGTGACCGTGGTTCACTTTTACAGGGAACATGCTTTCCTGGGTAGGAAGAAGAGCAGGGAGTGCTACCGTTAGATGTCGCCTTGATAGAGCTGTGGGTAATGAGGACTGACATGAGAAATTTCCTCATTCGAAACTGGAGTATATGAGACTTTGGAGTTCGGATCATCGTCCAATCCTAGTTGATATTCTTAAAAAGAAGCCGCGAAGATAAAAAAACTTCAAATTTGATAAGAGATGGCTTCAAAATGAGGAACTCAGGCAGATTATACTTGAAGGATGGAAATCACCGAATCTCCCACCGGATGCAAGTATTGTGGAACATATTGCAAGTTGCAGGCGAGCATTATGTAATTGGAAAAGGCAACAAAATCCGAATTCAGAGAAAAGTGTGGAGGAGTTAAAGGAAAAAGTGGACCAATTATCCTCCAATGATGATGCCACTACAGAGGAGATTGCAGTAGCTTTAAAGGAATTGTCTGACGCTTCTTAAGGCGGAGGAATTGTTCTGTAAACAGAAGTGTAGGATATTCTGGTTAAGGGAAGGAGATAGAAACACTAAATTTTTCCACGCTCTCACGCAGTAGAGAAGAGCGAGGAACAAGATAACCCAATTACTGGATGTAGATGGGAATGTTGTAGAGGATGAGGAAGGACTGGTAGCCATTGCTACCAGCTACTTTCGATACATTTTCCAATCATCAAACCCGAGGGAGATAAAGGATGCACTTTCTGAAGTTACCACAACAATTACGCCAGCAGATAATGAGGGTCTAACAGCCCCGGTCACAGAGTGGGAGATTAAGTTGGCCCTTTTTGCCATGCACCCTGAGAAAGCCCTAGGACCCGACGGAATGAATGCTTTGTTTTACCAAAATTTTTGGGATATCGTAAAGGATGATCTAACTTTTATGGTTAAACAATTCCTATTCCAAGGAACGTTACCTACTGGATTAAATGATACCAACATATGCCTTATCCCAAAAGCAGAGAAGCTAAACCAGATGAGCCAACTACGGCCTATTAGCCTTTGTAATGTTAGTTACAAGATTATCTCCAAGGTCTTATGCCAGAGATTAAAAAAGGTTCTACCAGATATAATTTCAGAAATCCAGTCAGCCTTTGTTGCTGGGAGACAAATATCTGACAACATTATGATAGCCTAGGAGATGTTCCATGCCTTAAGAACAAAACCGAGTGGACACAATAAGAGGATGACTATTAAAACAGACATGAGTAAGGCATATGATAGAATGGAATGGTCCTTCATTGATGCCACTATGAGAAAGATGGGATTCTCAGAAGTATGGATAACCTGGATTATGCGTTGCATAACATCAGCTAAGTACAAGGTCCTCATGAATGGCCAGCCAAGAGGGAATATCATCCCGGAGAGGGGTCTACGACAGGGGGATCCTCTGTCCCTTTTCATTTTTATTCTATGCACAGAAACACTCGTTAGCCTTCTAAATCACGCAGAGAATCAAGGGGATGTGCATCATGCATGCGTGTCCTTTGGTATCTCACCTACTCTTTGCTGATGATAGCCTGTTCTTTTGCAAGGCGGAGCCCCGTGAATGTAAAGAAGTAATGAGAGTGGTTAGAAAATATGGACAAGCTTCGGGACAATGCATTAATTTTGATAAATCATCTATACACTTTGGTAAGAGAATAGAACTGGATGCTAGGCAAGAGATCAAGGATACACTTGAGATTCAGATTGAAGGAGGGATGGGGACATATTTAGGAATCCCAGAGGATATTAGTGGATCTAAATGCAAGGTTTTTACTTTTCTAAAGAATACGCCAAGGAATAGAGTGAATGGATGGACGGGTCGGTGGTTATCAAAAGGTGGCAAAGAAGTCATGATTAAGTCAATGTCCTTCACTTGCGACTTATGTGATGTCCTGCTTCCTTCTTCCACTTGAGATTTGCGATGCTTTAGCTAGTGCATTGCACAGTTCTGGTCGAGCTTGAATCCCCCAAAGAGAGGTATACACTGGTCAACATGGGATAAGTTATGCTTATCCAAAGAGGAAGGAGGGATCGGGTTCAGAATGGTTCACGAGTTTAATCTGGCGTTGTTAGCAAAGCAGTTATGGAGATTGGTTCAATACCCAGATTCACTGGTAGCTCGAGTTTGTAGAGGCCGGTATTATCGTTCAAGCTCGCCATTGCGAAAACTTATTGTCAGTAGCCCATCGTATGTGTGGACAAGCATAACAGCATCACTAGAATTATTATTATTAGGGATTAGACAGAAAATACACTCGGGGTATGAGGTTAAAGTATGGGAGGATCCATGGATCCCTACCATTCCAGCAAGACCAGCGGCACCATCGGCACCGGTTCTACATCCAAATATGCGAGTGAGCGACCTCATTAACCAAGAAACGAAGTCTTAGGATCTGAAACGATTGGAATACTACATAGAAGCGGATGATATACCACGCATAAGGAGCATGGCGATAAGCGCAACGCATCGCAGACACATATTGCTGAAGTTACACAAGGAATGGACAATAAACAGTCAAATCTGGAGATTGGGTTGCAAGAAACATACTGAAGAAGGAGGAGGAAGTAGTAGTTTGTGAACCTAGTATTACTGCACTCCAAGCACATGCTTGGAAGGTTAAGGCACCTCAGAAGATTTGTCATCTTATGTGGCAAATAATAACAGGTCATGTGGCTGTAACAAGTACTCTAAATTATCATCATATGAGATGTGATAACCACTGTCCACGATGTGGGGAGCTAGAAGAATCAGTTTCACATGCAATCTTCCATGCCAACCCCCAATGCAAGTATGGGCCTTATCATCTACGCCTTCCAGTCCTACCTTGTTTCCATTACAAAGCACATATGCGAATATGGATTATCTCTTTTGGAGGAAAAATGCCATAATGGAACCAGAAATGGATAGGGATCCTTATCCCTTGCTAATTTGGTACATTTGGAAAGCCCGAAATGATAAGCTGTTCAAAGGTATTGATAGAGACCCACTAGAGCTAACCCGGTATGCAGAGAGTGAATGCCAAGCCTGGTTCCAGGCAAATGAACATATTTTACCGCCTGATCAAGGGCACATAGATACTGACCAGACCATAGAAACATAAAAATTTGTTATGATTACCAAGAAAAACCCTTATGATTTTGTGGTTACGGTTCGTGGACACCTACAGCTTAACTCAGTGGATGTGGATGGGTTTGGAACGACAGTATGAGAAATAGCCATCTAATGGGTATGCGCAATTGTAGTAGAATGGAGTCTGTTTTGCACTCTGAGCTGGAAGCACTGCGGTTGGCAATGGAGAATATGCTTCAACATTCGCCATGTCAGAGTTTTGGAACGGATTACAAGAAGCTAATAGAGATGCTTGGAGATCCACACAACTGGCCAAGTTTCTCAACGAAGTTAGTGAAGATCATGACGCTGCGAATTTGTTTTTCAGACTTCAAAATCATCTATGTTCCTAGGACACGGAATGGTGTTGCTGATTCTTTAGAAAAATCTGCTCGATCCTTTTATCGAGAATTATTGTATGTTGATTGTTCTATTCCTGTCTGGCTTTCCAAACCACTTTAAGCTTGAGTAATAGATCGGCCGTTCGTTGTCAAAAAAATAGTATTTTGTATCATAGTTGTTCTTATGTTAGTGTTGACCCAGATAAAGTTCAAACCATATCATATCTTCCAATGTGCAACCGTGCAATGTGTAATTGAGAATAGAGATCATGCTTAAATGTTTAAAAATGAAAATAAAACAAGAATGGTTCTATATATTAGTTTTCTGTACTTTATAACAAAAACTAGTTATTTATCTAACATTCTTAGAAAATATGGATCTAATCAAGTATCAAGACAAATATATCTATTATATAATAACTCAATTTTGCCTCACCAAGACATGACACCTAAGCACTCATCTTCATGACACATTAGCATAGAAACTAAATTTCTTAAATTACTACGACTTAATCAATGCAAAATTGACTTGTCTGAATCAGTTAGGAGACAAGTGGAATGAAAAAGTAAGTTTGATCTAGTTTAAAGGTGTTAAAATCTTTAGATACATAAAATGTGTGTTGCAATTACAATGTATGTTCAAGTGTAAATGAAAACTCAAAAAATGTCAATAAATAGAAAAATTTCTCCGGGA